GAAAACCTAAGAGAAACCAAGAAATTCTGGGTCTTCTTGGTTTCTTTTCAGGAAAAAGAAAACAAACCAAATGCTGATGCTCTCTTGGGGGCCAATGAATGTGCCTATCTAGTTTCTAAATAAGGAAACACACCACAAACTTGACTGTGATTGACTGGGTGATAAAATGTAAGGCCAAATCTTTGTGAGGTCCAAGGGTAGATACATAAACATATACAAGGTGTTTTAATTTAATTTTTTAAGTCAGATTTAAATATCCCATAACTGTTGTGCCAGTTGCAGTGATTGCTCTCTACACAGGTGCCATTCAATATAGTAAGTGCCTCATAGGTGCTAGCCCTACTTGAGGTGCTCAGTAGCCATATGCTAGGCTACCATATTGTATGGAACTGATATAGGACATTCCCATCAGTACAAAGAGTTCCAATGGACAGGGCTGTTGGATACTGACAAAACTTCTCTCTCATCCCTTCTCTACCTGGCTTGAAGCAGCACTGATCGTAGCAGCACTGATCGGGACCTTCTCATAAAATGAAGAGCATTCATAAGTAGTAGTGCATATATAAAGCATGCTATGTTTTTATACTTTCCTTCACCGAAACCCAGTATAAGAGTCTAAGATACACTCAAGTGAATGTTCTGGAGATTTATCAGTCTGTAATCAATACCTAATTTTAAAAAGAATTATATCAAAAGACAAGGGCTAGAAATATGCTGTTTTCCTTTAAATGTGAATTCTAGTTGATTCATGGTCTGAATGTTCACGACATCACTCACCTCCCCCTTCATCCTTTTTCTTGCATCCCCTAAGAATTAGATTGATTTTATTATAAGTCCATTCCTCTCTGTTTATGGTATCACATCTATTTGATAAAGAATGCAACACTGGCAGGGATTTAAGTGTTTAACATGTTATATATGCAAAGAGAGTAAACATCAAATATAGATCCAAGCTAAATAGCTTAAAGTGCATTGTTTATCATGCCTTACTTTATTGCTAATCTCACATATATCGCACATCTAACAGGGAACAGGCCTCACACGTCCATAAATAGCCTACAAACTGAGCAACTGAATGAGCAATATTTAAACATAGCATTCATAAAATAAGTAATAGAATTACAGAATTGACAGAGACAATAGAACTGTCAGAGAAATGGATGTCGAACCATCTTTTTTCAAAAAGGAGTGAATTCAAATTCCAAGAGATGGAGTGCCTTGGTCCCTTGATGAGTGGAGTCAGAATTAGACCCCAGCTCCCCAGACCTGAACTGAGGGTGTTAACTGAGGGTCTTATTCATTATTTTTATTTTTATTTTTATGCAGTGCCCAGGATGGAACCATGCATGCCAGGCAAGTGCTCTACCAATGAGCCACATCTCCAGAGGGTTGTTTTGGATCCTTGTTCTTTTCCCCTAGTCTGACAAGGATAAGGGGGAGGAGTGGGGAGAAGATGAGAGAAAGTTGGCCTCTCTCAGATGTCAGAAGGGTGAGACCTCATGGTGCCAGGCCAGCATCTAGGCCATGATGTGTGGCATGAGAGACAACTTTTCTTCTTAGCCTTATCAGCACTTCAAGTGCTCCACCTGGCTTCAAAGGTGCCACTTCCTAGAGGAACCTATATACCCAGCTAATGGGATTTCTGGAACCAGAGCATGAGAGTCCTGTTCTGGTTAATTCATTTTATTTGTGCCTTTACTCTCCAGTTTTGTCATGTGTTTCCCATGAAAAGCTCCAAGTTCTCTCATCCTACTTCTCTGAGCATTTATCATGAGGATTCAGAGATGTGGTTTAGGGGACTGTAAATTTCCTATAAAGAAAAAATGAAAATCATCTTTCAGTCTGTAGCCTTTATTAAACTATCAAAGGATTTTTAAAAAAGATGAGAACTTTTATAAAAAGAGGAAAGATGTACTTCTTAGAAGGAAGAAATAAACTGAACCCAGAAAAACTGGTATAATAGATGTAGGTAATAACAAATATAATTTTAATAGAAATGGGCAATGTAAAGGAAGATAACACATTGCTAAAAAAGACCAGAAAGAAACAGGTGGAAGATACATTCTCTTGAATTCTCTCTTCTTTCATCCATTCATCCAAACTCTTTAGAGTTACAAATTAATTTTGCACATGGTGGGGGCATTTCCACCCTCTGTCTTCAGCACCACAGTGGGCTCACAAGTCAGAGACTTCCTTCAGGTCATGGGTGGGGTTTGGATGCTTTGGCCCCCAGCCTGCCTGGCTGCACACCCTGCTGTAGTGCTTGTAGCTATGAAAAGCAGCAAACAGGCCTTCCACCAATCTTTTTCTCTCACAAAAGGATTCTTGCAAACTCATCATCATCTGTCTCCGGTATGGCATGCCACCACAACAATGAAAAAGGACCTTGTGCCACTGCAGTGACCCAAAAATGCCACACTGCTAATTAGATGGCTCTGGGAGAAACAGAGAGCAAGACCCAAGACAGGAATATGGCAATGTTTCCTTTTTACAAAAAGCTGCTGGGCTCCTTGGGAAAACATGGTCCTAGAAGTATAGCTGGGTTTTGGCCAGAAGAAGCAGAGAGAAGAACCAAGAGGGCAGGTATCGCTGCAACCATCCTATCACCTCTCAGAAATGGTTCCCACCCTCAACATCCACAAGGGCAGTGGCAGCCACCAGCCATCACCTGCTGAGGGAGGAACCACGGATTCATATTTTTACCTTCCATGTCAATATTTAGGGAATGTATCTTCTAATATGTTCTACTCAACTGCAACAGTGAAATGGAGAAATTCCATATACCCCAAAGCCCAATTTGTTAGTTATAACTTTGAACTAAAATTACTTTTAAAATTTCACATAGGGATACAAATCATGAATTTTAAAAATGTCTGTTGAACCAGATATATGAGCATTGTGAGCCACTTGAGTGTGTGCCTACAGCATTTGATGACTGATGCTGTGCCATATTTCATCTGGTTCTCTGAATTCTCTCTCTCTCTCTCTCTCTCTCTCTCTCTCATTTTTCAGAGGTGCTGGCCTTCAATATCAGCCTTCCAAGGAGAGCACAGCAGTGCAATTGTGATCAGAGAGCAAACATTCCAGATAGGAATATTTTGGTAGATTTTAAAAGAAACTCTCACTGCTGTCCACTGACTTAGAAAATATGATACATTATAAACCTCTTCAATATCAAGAGGCAGGATATAATGATTTGTATATTTTATTTTGACTTTACATGCGGTGTTAAAAACCCAAAGTACATATTATTTACACATCCACAATACAAGTTTACAAGATATCTATACATGTTAAAGTACTCTATAAAACAGTATAGAGCCACTTCACTTTAGGGTTACTTTTTTTTATGCCGTACCATTAAAAAAGATACAATCTGTGTTTACCTTTGCACAAATGGATAAAGCATTTAAAAATTAAATTAACAGGATAGAGACTAGATTCAATGTTAGAAATTCCAACATAAATACTGATAGAACTCACATTACAAACTACAAGGCAGCACAATGTTACAAAATGTTATCTGGGGTCACACGGAGTTACCACGCTGGGATTAATATTGGTAAGGTAAATTCAAACACGTTTGTTGTTGGTGGACTGAGTAGTGTTTATCATTGGTTGGTTTAATTTATTATTAATCTGTAATATTTTAGTTGCAAAGCAGAAGTGTTTCAAGAACAGACATTTTAGCTTTTGAGCTTCCAGAGATCACAGGAAATCATGTTCTTTATAAAAAACAATGTTCTCAAAGGAAAAGAATAACTGCATCAGTATTCTACATTCTGTATAAAAATGATCTGGTCGTCTGCATCCCATCCTCCCCCAAGTAACATCAGCATGATCACACGAAATCAGTTGAACTTATTTGTCTGACTAGGTCAGGAGCCTTCCTCTGCCGCGTTCCTTTCTAGATTAGGTTCAATAAACAATTGGGTGGTGTGCAGCATATTAACTGAAATAGTCATTGGGGTTGCACATCATCAACTGTAAGTGGTTTCTGCCAAACTATGCACAAATGACTCTAGATGGTTTCCGCAGGTGTCACATTCCCCGGGAAACCTCATTTGACTTCACATTATCACCGTCTCATCCTTAGGAAAGCAGGAGTGGAATGTTTATCATGGCAAAGGAGGTAATGCTGCTATTCAGAGGGGTTGTTTAACAATTAATTGTTCTAGGTTGCTTTATATGGTTTTTGAAAAGTCTTTTCAGGTGCTGGTTGGAAAACATTTACAACTGGCACTCAGTTAAGTGATGTGCTATATTGAAAACACTTGACATATTTTAGTACTTCTATCATTCTCATGAATAAGGCACAAAATGCACAGATTCAGGTAAACTCACATGGGGTATTTACAGTATATTGTCATTACCTGCATGACTTAGGAGAAAATTCTCACATAACACAACATAGACAACATGATTGCACCACGGGTGGGTCATATGACCCTTCCTGCTAAGCCAATTACAATGTCCTCATATGCCTTTCTTTTGTCTTTTATTTTTCTATTTTTCTTTTGCCTTGGGGGTTGGGAGGAGGTCAAGGAGGAAAAAATTAACATATGGGAAACAACCAAACACCATCAAAATAAACTCTTCATGGTGTGTCCGAGGTTAAATAGCGTGACTCAGGCTTTGATTCACAGTGGACGGGCAAATTTTACTACCGAATACTGGTGGATAAATCAAGGATACCTCATAATATCTCTAGCTTCTTAAGGTGGCAAGACTGGAATAGAAGTTTTAATGAATAGCAGCACAAAATTACTTGGAACTCTTACATTCTGGCATTGGGTACCACATAAATTAAGTTCATCATTTTGACAGCCAAAGGAGCCTCGATTGTGTTCCTTTCTCAAAGCTGAACCCAATGGGCTGTAGGAAGAAGTTGGTGTCTCGTTCAGTCATGCTCAATGTAAACAACTCCATAGCACAAAAAGACACAATGGGCACCTAAACACATCCTAGTGGGTGCAGAACTTTCTCTCTCTCTCTCTCTCTCACACACACACATACACACATGCACACACATACTTGCAACACAGTTTGTTGGTGGCATGAAAAAAAAATGCCACATATGAAAAAAATGCTACAGTTTGGGTCAAAGACTGAATTTTTAGCAAACTGCTTGGTAACCTACGAGTTTGTTTCTTTGAGACATTACCATCTTTTTTTTTTTTGACATTTGTGCAAGAGGCAAGGTGAATGCATACATATTAAAATGTTCACATTTAATGGGAAGACCACACACAAGGGCAGTCTAAATTGAACCCATTTTCAAGTATTTGTTCACAGATTCTTCTGAGTACTGTATCAGCTCTTGATACTGGTAAGGTAGCCCTTGGGAGCTACACATCGCTTTAGCTTCCAATAAAAGAAATGGAATGACCAGCACCTTCCTTTGTTTTTCAGGCCAATACACAGAAGCCTCGCTGCCGCCGCTACATGTGGCAAGTTCTGATGTTGCCAAAGTGACAGTCTCTTTGGCCACTTGGTTCTTTTAAAATATAAGCAAGTCTCTTGTCCTAAAGGTACCCTTACAACATCATCCTCTCAACAACACGGACAGGATAAAGCCACACAGGAATAGCACACTCGATGCCTAGTAAGTGTATTTATTCAGTGGTCTGACAGATGTGGTTTGAGGAACAAAGGAAGGCTTTGGTGGCACATCAGGTTTTAAGGACGGTGTCCTCTTTAGTCCCGTCCTGGGAAGGGTACCATTACTGGTGTAGCTGCTCTGTCTGGAAAGGGAAGGCTGCAGATGAACACTCACGGGTGTCCCCTGAATGTAGTCCACCTTCGCCCCCGTGGGGGTGGGCATGTATCCTCCACGGTTCATGGTAGGCTGTCTAGATAACAAAACACCATTTGGTGAGTTTAAGTTTTTAGGCATAGCAGATATAGAGTGCCTCTGGGAAGAATTTTTGTGATAACCCCTTTGTCTTTCCAGAGAAGTCATTGGGACCCCAGGAGTGGTGGGGACGTCCACTCTCTTGGTTGGACTATTCCTGGGGAGTGTTGAAGGAGGTGAATAGAGTGATGCCTCCCGGTTGGGGACCTTGGGTGGGACCTCAGACATAGGTCCCACGGGATCCAGCATTAGTGTCTGGTGGGCCATTTGGATGTCTCCCATGATGGCTTTGGGGTTACTGTTTGGGTCATTCAGATGTTTCAGGAGATCATTGAGGGTATTTCTGGAATCCACAGAACGCCGGTGATCTCTCTTACCTGATGACTTTGTAAGAGGGTGATCAATACTTTGAAGCTTCTTTTCAGCTTTATGAGCATTGGAGTTTGAGAAAGATGTATTGTAGTCATGGGTAGCATTGGGAAGAACAATGGCACTGGGGATATGCCCATGACTTAGTGGGGAGTGGGGGGGAGGACTAGAAGGAAAAAACTGGGGGGTTTCTTTCCTTGAAGCTGCATGGCCGTGGGCCTTGTCTGAATGGCCCTTCATGGCCTGCAGGGTCTTCTGGTGAAGCACAGGAGTAGACTCTGGTGTGGGGAGAGCGGCCAGCTCTGGAGGTTGGCCTCGATGGTCCATCACCATGGATTTTGTATCTCCACTGGGTGGCAGCTCTTTTCGACTGGTCAGCAGGTTACTATAGAGTTTAGGAGAATCAATATTCTGTTGGTATTCCTTGACGGGGCTGTCAAAGAGACCATTCAGTTTTGCAAAACTTCCACTGGAATCTGTGCATGACTGGGCGGATTCTGCATCTTTATGGATCTTTCTGTTTTTCCGGACAAACATATCACGATAGCAGTATACTGCTACCCCTGCAATGAACGCCCCCAAAACAAAAGCAGCAAAGACACAGGTGATGAGGACGTTCATATGGACCATCTGGTTGGACTCTCCAGATTGGACTTCCCATCTCACACCTGCAACAGACACACAGGACAGGTTTGAATGAAGTGCTTTTAACAACAACATTAAACAGCAAATGGCTTCCACTGAGATAACACTACCTTCGACACTGTCCATGTGCTTAGCTTGGAGGGTCAGTTAGACTCCAAAATTCCACATATGTTATATATTTTTCTTTAATCACAATAGGAGCCCCAGAACCACATATGATTGCTGCAGATACCAGAATAACTCTAATCTCCTATTAATCTATATTTTTCTGTTCTTTCCCCCTCCAATCCCTCTTCTAATAGTTGTTAGAAATGTTAACAATTTCTGCCTTAAGAATAGAGTTACAAGTTATATATTTTCTAAACAGCTAATTTTAATCCCATAAAATATTTTGTCTCATGATTTTCTCCTAATTCATAAGTCAGGATTAAAGGCAGCTGCTGTGATTAGGGAAATGTATGAGTTAGCATGAAGATATATTATGTTAAAATAATTATGGTTATACAATTATGTTAAATTAACTGGATAAAAACACATAGATTGGTCACAAACTTAAAGCATCTACTTGGTCATTGTTAGCTACATATAGCTAAATATACTTTTATGTTTGCTTTTTTTTTTTCATTCTATTTTGGGTGAAGCACTCTTGAATAACCTGCTATGTAAGAAATCCAGACAGTGTAAGGAAATATATTATGCATTAGTTAAGTAATATCATTAAATTATTTGGAGGTATCTGAGAAATATTTAAATTAGACCTAGAAGGAGAAGATTGAAATAGTTTTTAATTATTGTAATTTGTAATGCAACCACAGACATCTAACAGTCAATCAAAGAAATGTTAGTTTAAGAGGTATCCAAGTCTGTTACACGCTATACACACAGCTGTCCCAGAATAAGTAAGTAAGAGGGATTTTGAAGATTGTGTTGTTTTAGGTTAGTATTAAGGCCTTTGAACATTAGTTGTTCGGGGTTATGTTCAGGGTTATGGAATTCAGTGGCATAGTGAGAGACCAAGAAAGAGAAGCAAAAAGAAATGATATTACTAAAGAAAACAAAGCAGAGAGAGAGAAGAATGATTATAAAATTGTTTACAATGAAAATATATAAAACCAAAATCAACAGATGTAAATCATAATCGACAAAAAACAGTGCATAAAAACTGATTGGAAACCTGATACCATGGTTTAGTAAGCACTAAGGAATAGATTTTTTTTTTTTCTGGAGTAATCTATCTAATAAGTAAAGGCAATAGGCAGCTATTTTATAACTGCTGCTGTTATGGACTGAAAGTGATAGTTACGGACAAGTGCTCTGTTATGCTTTATTGCTTGTGGCATTCAAGCAACTTGTTACCTCACATATCCTTTTGATATTGCACTTTGGATTGAAGCTAAACGAGAGGCTGGGAAAGGCTCCTAGACAAAACATCTGATATGAGGATATTTGCAATTAGTGAGTTTTGTTTTTTGATGTTGCAAGGGCAACCCTCGAAATTCTCTGATATTCAACAGCCTCTCAGCTTCCCCAGACAGAAATCAACACAGATTAGATTGTCTGAGTGGCTGTTTCACGAGCCATGTCTTCAACAGCTTTCCGCCTCTTTCATCTCTGCACAAATGCACTCAGATATAACCACAGAATGCCAGAGTCCCTGTGGCCAGTGGAACTGGAGGGGCAGTAAGAGCAGCTCCACTTGGATCCACCTTAGAAGGGCACCCTTCTTGGAGATGTTTGGAATCAGGTTTCTGCACAGTTAGAGATGAGTTCCCTGATGCGGCCTTACCCTTTGGGATACCCGATAAAGGATCAGTAAAATCAGAAGTGTTTGGGTCATCTTGAACTACAAATTTCCGGGAGCTCGTCAGTTTAGGTCTCCAGGTATCAATCACTTTGGGTGTAATTTCTGGGATACTTGCCACTGTGATAATAGAAGATGAAGATACCTCCATGTCTGTGGTGGCAAACAGATGTTCATTAACATGGGTAATATCAGAAGGCTTTTCTGATTGGTCTGTTGCATTTTTAAGCAAACTTTAAGTTAATGTAATGAGAAAGCTTGTTCTAAGATTTTTTACAAACACACCTGAGGAAACTACACCAAATCCCTTTCTTTCAAGGGACGAATAGAACCTCAAATTTAACAGTAAAGACACTTTAAGCAGATTTCAAAAGACATTAAGCCATTCCTACTGACTCTGTTTGGTATTAATGCTGCCCATGGAAAAGCTAATAGAAATCCCAGTGCAGATTATTTGCCATTTTCTCATTCTCTTGTGTGACAACATCATTTCCTCTCTCTCTCTCTCTCTCTCTCTCTCTCTCTGTGTGTGTGTATGTGTGTGTGTGTATTTTAAACAGTACTTTCCTAGATGGTTGGAAACTTTATTTCCTTTGCTGGGGAAGCTACAATGTAAGTTCATCATAAAATAAATGGTTAAGTCTGAGTAAACACTTGATGTTGGACCTGATAAACCAGCCCTGCCTGAGAGATTGTTCTGCTTTTTCACTGGCCTCCTGTCTATCTGTAGACTTCTCAACTGCACTGAGGGCCTCCTGTCTACAGTAAAGTACCATGTTCTCCAAAATGCCTGGGGAATTTCTTCCAAAGAGTTAGCATCAACTCACGCAAAAATAAATGGTATTTACAAACAGAATAAGGGTGTTCTGATACATAAGACCTGCTATCCTTTTCTCCCTCCTGAGAAATGAAATCACAGCGTGTCCCAGAAGAAGCAATAGAACTGAGAATCACTTAACCTTTTAGCAGGCCTCTTATTGATTTCTACCAAGTAGATTTCCTCCAAATGTAGGCCAATGTTTTCAGGCTAAAACAGAGACCCCCAACTAAGAACGGTGCCATAGTCCTACAGACTGAGGCTCTTCAACAGATATAGACAGAGGATGTGGAGAGCCCATGGACATCGTAGTACATCAAAACCCAGCAGAAGCCTTTTTCACAGCACTGAC